GACCCATGTTCAGGAGCTGCTACATGCGCCTGCTCCAGAGGTTGAGGGCTTCGTGGACATTGTCAGGCAGCATGATGGCGGCCATCGTTCACTGACGGAGGATGCGTCACTTGAATGGCCCCCCGGGGCTTCTTAAAGCTGTGGCTCATCCCGCCGCAGGCAGCACTGAGCAACTTCGGTCCCCAAGCAGAGCGGAGCTGCTTCCAGAAGCTTAACAGGAAGCGAAGGTGCCGAGCCTGGAGCTGAGCTTTGAAGGAGGCGGAGGAAAGGGCGGCAGGCACGCTCGGCCCCCCTCCCGAGTGTGCAAGCAGCGGGGCTCCCCCCCCCTACCCCCGCCCCAGGCGGGAGGAGCGAGGCCCGGAGGCAACTCTGGCTGCGTCTTTCCACCAGGAAACCGCCCCCGGGGACGTGGGGGCTCCCCTGACACGGGTGGACTGGAGACGCTCTGCAGAAAGGAAACAGCTAGGTCCCATTTTCCTTGGTGTTTCCTACGCTTCTGCACCCGGAACCTTCTTCAGGCCACGTGGTCCCACCCACAGCATGGCCCTGAGTTTAAACACCCCCCACGGCTCCTTCCCAGTGCACCACCAGTGCCTTCCCTCAGGGGGAGGAGGGGCATGCAGGGTGCACACCCCGCCCTCCACCCAGCCCAGCAGCCTCTTCCCTGAGTCCTGTCCCATCCAGAGCTCACCCCGGCCTCACACCCCAGGCGCTGGCCCCAGTGGGTGGCGTCTCTTCCCGTGGTTGGCTGATCTCTACTAGACCTGAGCCTTCCTGTGTACCTGCCAGGGTCACCTCCCAGGACGGCCCTGCTCAGGGCTGCTCCCCCTGGGCCCCTTCGCCCACGGCTGCTGCCGGCATCCTAGGCTCCAGCTTCCTGCCCTGACTCCTTCTGCACCAGAGCACAGCCGGCCTGCCTGTCCTCCCGCCCCGCCCAACTCCCATGCCATGGGACTGCCCCTCAGAGAGGAGGTCTGGGTGAGGGTGCTGGGCTGCCCTCAGAGAGGAGGCGCTGGGTGAGGGTGCTGGGTGCCCTCAGCGAGGAGGCGCTGGGTGAGGGTGCTGGGTGCCCTCAGCGAGGAGGCGCTGGGTGAGGGTGCTGGGTGCCCTCAGCGAGGAGGCGCTGGGTGAGGGTGCTGGGTGCCCTCAGCGAGGAGGCGCTGGGTGAGGGTGCTGGGTGCCCTCAGCGAGGAGGCGCTGGGTGAGGGTGCTGGGTGCCCTCAGCGAGGAGGCGCTGGGTGAGGGTGCTGGGTGCCCTCAGCGAGGAGGCGCTGGGTGAGGGTGCTGGGTGCCCTCAGCGAGGAGGCGCTGGGTGAGGGTGCTGGGTGCCCTCAGCGAGGAGGCGCTGGGTGAGGGTGCTGGGTGCCCTCAGCGAGGAGGCGCTGGGTGAGGGTGCTGGGTGCCCTCAGCGAGGAGGCGCTGGGTGAGGGTGCTGGGTGCCCTCAGCGAGGAGGCGCTGGGTGAGGGTGCTGGGGGCCCTCAGAGAGGAGGCGCTGGGCGAGGGTGCTGCGCTCCCCGCAGAGAGGAGGCTGTGGGTGAGGGTGCTGGGTGCCCCTGGGTCTGGGGCGAATGGCTCTCCATTTGTCCAGCGCAGATATTCAGAGTAGCCCCTGGACAAGCAGCCAGATTCTGACTGTGACATGCTAACCCCACCCCCACCCAGAGAGGCAGCACACACAGCCAGCAAATGCATCCGCATTAAATATTTCTGGGCAAATGTGAAGTAGTCCATTTTGACACTGTTGAGAAAAAATACAGCCTAATTTCTGTTCAAATGCACCAAATTTACTGCCCAGGTCCTCATTAACTGTGTCAAGGAGGAAGCAGGTAGACAAAATAAATTATGAAAAAATTACTTTTTTAATGTACAAAAAGACTTATTTACAAGTTGAGCATGTCATCTCAATTCATAGCAGGTAGAAAAAGCTAAAAATGTTTTGGAGATATAAACTTGGCTGGATGACTCACCTACAGTATTTTCAGGGCGATGTCTTCTGTACAGACTATACACAGGGTGGGATGGTGTGACATCCTAGCTCAGGGAATGAATGACCACCAGAGCCCAGAGCCCGGGCCCTCCCCCCCCCCGGGGCTGTGATTTGGACTTGGCCTTTCCTTGGAGCCTAACAAAGCCCTGGGTGTTCTGGGACGCAGCGGGCCTGGGTAAGGTCACAGTCAGTATCAGGCTTCTAGTGGTACAGTTGGTTTTGGCAAGGATGCCACGAATTCAACACGGGGAAGGTGTGGGGCGTGTGCTGGGGAGGATGCACCCACTCATCCTACTATGTTCAGGAATGTCTCCTGATGCCAGTTCCAAATCCCACCTGAGGGAGGAATCACCTCCTTCCCCTCCTGCCCCTCTCCTCCTCCCCCTCAGACGCCATGCACATCATCATTCTCTGGAACGAATGAGGGCAGAGGGAGGGGGTTCAGGGCTGCTGGAGAGTGGGCAGCGTGGCCGGAGGCACCTGGAGAGGCCGCCATCAGGGCCTGGGGCAGAGTGGGCGGGCAGTGCCCTGGGGAAACAGGGCTGGGTAAACATGTGACTCTTCCTACGCCAGGCGCCCGAGGGTGGGCCCCGCGCACTCATGTCCTAAAGGTCCGTCCACGCGTGGGCCCCTCGGTCATCCGTGGCCGCAGCGGCTCCAGCAGCCCCGGGGCATTCAGAAGGGAGTGTTCCTTTCAGGGAGGGCCACGTTTACACGCGTGGGCACTGTAAACACGCCTGGAGGCCCGCTGCCTCTGAGCACCCCAAGTGTCATGGTGTCTTCTTTCCCTTTTCTGGCAACTTCCGTCCTTTATTCATTCTATACACGCGGGCCGTGGGCCAGGTGCACGCCTGGCTCTGCGGGCAGAGATGCCGGCTCCACCCCCTGGAATCAGGATGTGCTCCGAGTCACCAGGGCACGGGAGCGGCCTTGGGGCCAGCTTGCGGGAGGATTCCGGGGCCAGCAACTCCTCCTCCTTGCAGGATCAGAATAGAAACTCATCTTCCTGGATTACAACATCCAGTACGGCTTTCTGATTCAAACCCAAATGTGTTCCTCCGCCCTTTTCCTCGTGTACTTGGAAAGCCCTGGCCAGCGGGACCCCTCTGTGACGGGCGAAGGAGCCGGAGCAGAGTGGTCCCCTAAACACCAGAGGC